ACTTCTTTTCATTAAAAGACTATTTTGTTAAATATTATGTCTTGTCAAATTGAAATTATGAAGATTTTTGTTCTTTACTACTAAGCAAAATTATTTTCATCATTTTAATTCAATTGTTATTTTCTCGAATTTTAAATTATTTTTTATGAGAATAATAATTGATTTCCTTAGAAAAATTTTATTATTTATAAAAATAATTGAATTCCTGTGAAATTTTTATTATTTATGAAAATAATTAAATGTTTGCACACAATTTTAGTAAATTTCTTTTGAATATTTGAATTCTTTTTGGGAAATTTTATTAAAATAGTAGATATTGAAAATCATTGAAATTAGAAAAATGCATTTTATTTTTGAAAATAATTAAAATTAGGTCAAGAATTTTTTTGACATTTATAAAAATAATTGAACTTTGGAGAAGAATTTTGTTATTTATAAAGATAATTGGGATTTTTACGAGAATTTTTTTCAAATTATAAACATAGTTGAATTTTATAGGAATTTTATTTTTTTTAAATAATTGAATTTCTGCATTTTTTGTAATTTCTCCAAAATTGAATGTTTTTTTTTATCCTTTTGAACAAAAATTTTAATTAGAAAATTTTTAAATTCTATTTTTAAAATTGATAATTTTAAAAAAGGCAGTAAGAAGTTAGAATTGTTGCTAGTATTTATTTAAAGATGAAGTTATTATGAACAAAAAGTTTTGAACGTTCAAATGAACGAAATATTTTTTGTTAAAAATATTTTCATAGATTATTGATTACAATTCAAATTAAAAACTCAAATTTTACATTTAGAAACATTATAATTAATTTGCTTAATAGTGACGCAAAATTATAGTAATAAAAATTTAATTTGAAGAAGAAAAAAATAAATTTCGTTCATTTGAACGTTCAAAACTTTAACCTCCTAAGTTATTTATGTTTTCGAATAATTTGTCAATTGAAGTAATTCGTTAATAAATGTAATAGAACAGTTTTTTGATTATCTAATAATTTTCAGAGTGAATCAAAATATTCTTTAAGGGTTAGGGAAATGGTGAAAATTTTGTCTGGAAATCAGGGAAAAACAAAATTAAATTAAATTTTTTTTTTTAATTAAATTTTTTTTCTCTAATTTATCTAAACTAAAATTATAAAATTACTTGTTCGACGTATACTTTAAACTTAAGGTGACGGTTAGTAGGTCATTGACCTCTTAATGTAAATTTTAGAAAACACTCGAAACACGGAAATAGAGCATAAGAGCAATTTTAATCTTAATAGTAATCAACTTTTAAAAACCAGAAATACAATTTTTTTTCTCACTGCAAAATATACAAGCGACAATATATATAAGAAAAAAAAATCTATTTTTCCAGTGTCGTTATTTTCTAAATAACGATAATAATCATTTTCTTTCTCTAAAGAGAGAGATAGAAAGGAAACAATGAAAGAAACAAATGTCCTTTCTCTGAATTGTGTGACGTCTTGTCTCCCAATCTTTGAATCTTGTCATTGTGGTTTCTCTGCACTTGTTTCCCTCATCTTCGCGGATATCCGTAGGGTCAAGTACAGTTCTGAGATTGGCCGTTTCCTACGTGTATCCCGGAATCGAGTGCCCGTTGTGTGCGAAGGGTGAACGACCGAAAGGCAGGGGCACTAGGCTGCTACCCTTTGCATAGTGAGAGAGAGAAGGAACGAAGGGAGGTCGCCTTGTTAAAATAGAGAAAGAATATGAGAGAGGGTGGGAGGTGGAGGGAGAAAGAGAGATCCGATAAAGAGACCTATACTCTACCCACCCACTTCCAAATCCTCCTCCGCCACCTCATCCTCCACCTCCTAGTTCTTCGTCGTGCCACCAAAGAGGATCAATACGAACCACGTGGTGTATGGCACTGGCAGGAGAAAACGGGAAACTTTTACCCGCGTGCAACTTTTTAAAACCAAACCCCCCCCCCCCCGTCTTTTTTTTATTCCATTCAGGAAAAAAGTTTCCTTGGAGCAAACAAATTTTTACTTGAGCCACAAACGTTTTACTGAATCAAGTGAAAGTTTATTGAAAGCCAGGCATCGCACTCATCTACTAAAACCTACTATTTACTACTTTTTTAACGTTATACTACTATTTGGATACTTTTTTTAAATTTCAGTCACTAAAAGATACTATTTCTGTTTTTTTTAGCACTTACACTACTTTAAATTGGCTAATACTATAAATACAAAAAGAAATTCAATTATTTTCAAAAATAATAAAATTCTTCGCAGAAATTCAATTATTTTCAAAAATAATAAAATTCTTCGCAGAAATTCAATTATCTTCAAAAATAATAAAATTCTTCGCAGAAATTCAATTATGTTTCCAAATATTTAAAAAAATTCTCGCCAAAATGTCAAATATCTTTGTAAATAATAAAATTCTTCGGTGAAATTAAATTATTTTCGAAAATTTTAATAAAATTCTTGGCACTGTTTCAATTTTCAAAAATTCTCTCCAATTCAATGATTTTCAATATCTACTATTTTAATAAAATTTTCCAAAAAAATTCAATTATTAAAAAAAAAATTTATTAAAAATTTCGCAAGAATTCATTTATTTAAAAATTTTTTTTATAAATTTCTTGGCTGTAAATTCAATCATATTTATATAAATAATAAAACTCATAGTAAAAATTCAATTATTTTCATAAATTTATAAAACTCATAGCAGAAATTCAATTATTGTCACAAATAACAAAAATTTCACAGAAATTCAATTATTTTCAAAAATAAAAAAATTCTCTTCAGAAATTCAATTATGTTTCAAAATATTTAAAAATTCTCTTCACTATTTCAATTATATTTACCTATAAATAGCAAAATTCTTCACCGAAATTCAATTATTTTTAAAAAATTTATAAAATTCTTGGCAAAATTTCAATTATTTAAAAAAATGTTTCTCTATTCAATGATTTTCAATATCTACTGTTTTAATAAAATTTCCCAAAAGAATTCAATTATTTAAAACGATTTCTTATAAAATTCAACATAAACATTTAATTATTTTTATGAATAATAAAAATTTCAGAGGAATTCAATTATGTACCAATATCTTTTATAAATTTCTTGGCTGTAAATTCAATTATATTCACATAAATAATAAAACTCATAGTAGAAATTTAATTATTTTCATAAATTTATAAAACTCATAGCAGAAATTCAATTATTTTCACAAATAACAAAAATTATCATCAAATTCTTTAAAACGATTCAATTTATTTTCAATATCTAGTATTTTCATAAAATTTCGCAAAAGAATTAAATTATTTGGAAAAAAATTTCATCCAAAATTCAATTATTTTCATAAATAATAAAATTTCTACAGGAATTCAATATTAAATTCGAAAAAAAGAAGAAAATTTCAAAAAAATTAATTATTTAACGAAATTTTTATACAATTCTTCATTAGTAATTCAATTACTTTCACTAATAATAACATTTTTCATGGAAATTCAATTTTTCAAACAAAAAAATTTTTTTTGGATAAAATTCTAAGCAAGAATTTAATTAACTTTATTAATTTTATAAATTAAATCTAAATTAATTAATCGAAAAATTCAATTATTTTCACAAATAAAGTTTTCCACAAGAATTCAGTTATTGGAATTTAAATTTTCATAAAATTTATTATAATTCGAAAAAATTATTTATTTTCAAATTTTTTGTTACATGATCGACTATGAAAAGTAAAATGTTTATGTAACAAAGTTGCAATATGACATGGCATCAAATAGTGTGTTTAAAAAAATTGTATTTAAAACAATGTTTATAAAATTTATTCTTATGAAGAATTCAATTATTTTCAAAAATAAGAAAATTTTTTACAGAAACTTAATTCTTTTTAAACATTTTTATAAAATTTTTCGCAATAATTCAATTATTTTCATAAACAATCAAATTCTTTTCAGGAATTCAATTATTTTCAAAAATTTTAATAAAATTCTTAGCAACTATTCAATTATTTTCAAAAATAATAAAATTCATCGTAGGATTTCAATTATTTTTCATATTATTTTACAGAAATTGCTCAAAAACGGTAATTATTCTTAAAAATTTAATTTCAATTCCTCGAAAAAATTAATTATTCAAAAAAAAATATTTTTTTAAAATTCTTTGAAAGAATTTAATTATTTACAAAAACTATATTAGAATTTTTCACAGGAATTCAATTATTTTCAAATATTTTAATAAAATTTTTGGAAAAGAATCAATTATTTTAAATACAATTTTAATTAAATATTTTTGAAATAATTCAATTATTCCTTTAGATTTTAATAAAATTCTTCCCGCAAGAATTTAATTATTGACATAAATAAGTCTTTGAAAGAATTTAATTATCAAAGATAAATAACAAAATTATTCCCGAAAATTCAATTATTTTGAGGCATTTTAATAAAATTCTTTGCAAAATTCAATTATTTTCATAAATAACAATATTCATCACAAGAATTCAATTATTTTTAAAAGTAATAAATTTCTTCTTGGAAATTCAATCATTTTATAAAATTCTAATAAAATCGTTATCAACAATTTAATTATTGTCAATAATTTTAATTAAATTCTTTGTATAATTTAATTATTTTTAAAAACTTTTTACAATTCAATAATTTTCAATATATCTACTATTTTAATAAATTTTTCAAAAAGAACTTAATTGTTTAAACAATTTTTTTTTGTAAAAATCTTCGTAAGAATTGAATTCTTTTCATGATTAAGAAAAATTTCTGAGGAATTCAATTATTTAAATTAGAATTTGCATAAAATTATTATATTATAATTTTTTTTAAATTTTTTTTGTCTATCTATTTAGTATTAAATAATAATTTCTCAACTAATCTGTACTTGTTGCACCTGGAGTTTTTCTATTGGTTAGCAGTACATCTATTTTATATATAGTTGCCTTCGTCAAAATAAGAAAAAAAAAATTTTTTCCCACTCGTTAAAAATTTATAAATTTTTACATGTTTATGTGTAACTTACAGATAATGACGAGATCGATTTGTTAAATCCAAGTACATACTATTCTCATCTAGTTCCTTGTGACTGCTTACCTGAAACAAAATTAAATTTTACAATTAGTAAATGAATTACTTATTAATAATAATTATATTAATTAAAAATTAATATTAATCTAATTATTATAATTAAAAATAATAGAATTTAAAAATTATTTTTTTTACATTTTTGTTGAAAACACTAAAAAAATATTTTTTATTTTAAAAAAGCCCTTTTGCATAACTACCATTTTTTCTAAATTTTGATTATCTTTAGAAAAATTAAAACTAATAAAAATAAAAATTATCATTTTTATTATTATGTATCAGAATAATTTTTTTTCGTATAAAAAGATATGAAAATAAATTTTTGAAAAGAACGATCGAAATAATTGGGGTTGATAAATTTTTTTTTTATTGTAAATTAATTTACAGTTGCGCTCTTTATACGTTAAACGGTTAAAGTAATTATTATTCAAGGAAAGTTTTCCATTCGATCGTAATATGGCCCAACAAAAGAATTCTGATCACGTCTTTATAACGTAGAATATGTCGAATTGGAAAGCGGCTTTTTATTTTCACTTTAAGACTTCTCTTTCAAGAGAAGAAAGGTTAAGGTCATCGAAAAAGTATCACATGCATTACATTGCGAAAGTAAAAAAAAAAAAAAACAATAAAGAAAAAAGTAATGGCAAACATTACACAAATATAGAAATACATATTTTGTAAACACAAAGCGCGAGATGAAAATAAATAAGAATTGAAAGAGAGTACAAATTTTTATTTTAGAAAATAATTTTTACTGCAAAAAAAAAAATGTATTTACTATATTTTTTTATATTTATTTATTAAAATAAAAATTATTATTATTATTATATTTTATTCATTTTTGATTTTTAATGAATAATTTTTGTTCAATTTATTAAATTAATTGTTTTTTTAAATTAAAAAATGTATTAATAAATAAAAAATGCTTTCGATTAAATTGAGTTTGAATGTGGGAGAATTTTAATTAGAAGATGAAAATGATTGTCCACGTGGTGAGCACGTGACAAACGCAGGAGTATAGACACAACGTGTCCTTTGGAGTAGTCATGGCACCGGAAAAAGACGGCTACTCGAGATAAGTATCGACCAAGGGCAAAGGGTGGGACATGCGTACTTTCCACTTAACTTCCACGTTTTGCCAAAAAAAAAGTAGGAACAGAAAAAAAATTTATCTCATTTCGTACATATTAAAAACAAATTCTAAATATTCAAATTTTTGTTTAAAAAATAAGGAAAATAAAAAATTCTCAATAATATATTTTTTTCACAACTAAAGTAAAAATTTAAAAAATATGCTAAAGTAAAAATATATGTTTACTCCTTTTACTTTTCACTTTAGCATATTTTTTTTAATTTTTACTTTAGTTGTAAAAAAAAATTTTGTACGTTGTGAATTTTTTACTTTTAGTCTAAACTCTAAAGTAAAAAGGAAGAAGAGTAAAAATAGAAAAAAATGGAAGAACTAAAGTAAAAAGTAAAAAAAAGTAAAGAAAGTAAAAAATAAAAATAATTTACCTTATTTTACTTTCTTTATTTTTTGTTACATTTTACTTTAGTTTTTTTTTCTATTTTTACTCTTGTTACTTTTCAGTTTTCACTTTAACCTATTTTTACTTTTTACTTTAGTTGTGGAAAAAATATATTTGAATATTGAGAATTTTTTACTTTTCTTATTCTTTTAACAAAATTAAGGAAAGTAAAAAGTGATAAGAGTGAAAATAAAAGGAAGTAGAACAAAATTGGAAAGAAAAAGAAACTATAGTAAAAAGTAACAAAAAGTAAAAAAAAATAAAGAGAATTTGAAAAAGGCTCAAATAAAAAAACGAGAATTAAAATAAAGTATAATTAACAAATTTTTTATAGTAAAAAATAAGAGTAAAATAAAAAAAATTTTAAAAATATTGAAAGTAAAATATAAGAAAATAAAAATACAGGAAAGTAAAAAATAACAAGAGTAGAAATTAGAAATAAAGGAAAATTAAAAAATATGGATAATAAAAATAGAAAAAAGTAAAAATGCAGGAAAGTAAAAAATAACAAGAGGAAAAATAAATAAAAGTAAATAAGAAGGAAAGTAAACAATAAGGAAAGTAAACAACAAGGAAAGTAAACAACAAGGAAAGTAAACAATAAGGAAAGTAAACAACAAGGAAAGTAAACAATAAGGAAAGTAAACAACAAGGAAAGTAAATAAGGAAAGTAAACAACAAGGAAAGTAAACAAGGAAAGTAAAAAATAACAAAAGAAAAAAGGAAAATAAAAATTATTAAAGAAAAGTATCAGAAAAAATCAAAGTGAATAAAAAAGAGTAAAAAGCAAAAAGTAAAAAAAAAAAAAAAGAAAAACAAGGGGAATGTTTTCTATGGGTTCGTAACCATGAAATACGAGACGAAGGTCGAAATGGATGGATACGATTTGGACAACCCTGAGTATTCGTATCGAGCGGCAATGCCAAGGGCAAGGGCGCCTTCTCCCCCACCATAATAAAGCCAGAAGCACCTCTTCCTCGTTCTCTTCCACCAATCAACACACGCGAATTCACGCATTCACGCAACACATCTACATAAACGAAAAAAGCTTATTATACACACCCAAACTTGTGCAAATTCCATTAAGTGAATATAATATTGTATACATATATACATATATATACAGTGAAATATCTACTCGTGTGAGTGTCTGTGTTTGTGTATATCTAATATACATCGAATGCAAATGAACTCGATAATGTGTGAGTCGAATTTCGAGGGAGCGCTTTTAGTGTTACAATGACAGAGCAGACAGATTGAGTAATGAGACTTTTGTTGCCGTAGGCACTTTTAAAAAAATGCCTTCTTTAATAGTTTGGAAAAAATTTTCATTTGGAAAAAAATATTCTCAGTTTGAGAAATTTTCCAAAAAGTGTTCTTTTTTAGTGTTGGGAATAATTTTTTTACTCTAGACTACAATTTTTAGTGTAGTAAATAAATTTATTTATTCTATAAAACAATTTTTACTATAGAAAACCATTTTTACTGTAGAAATAAATTTATTTACTTATTTTCCAAAAAGTGTTCGTTTTTAGTGTTGGAAATAATTTTTTTACTCTAGACTACAATTTTTAGTGTAGAAAATAAATTTATTTATTCTATAAAACAATTTTTACTATAGAAAACAATTTTTACTGTAGAAATAAATAATTTATTTACTATTTTCCAAAAAGTGTTCGTTTTTAGTGTTGGAAATAATTTTTTTACTCTAGACTACAATTTTTAGTGTAGAAAATAAATTTATTTATTCTATAAAACAATTTTTACTATAGAAAACAATTTTTACTGTAGAAAACAATTTTTACTGTAGAAATAAATAATTTATTTACTATTTTCCAAAAAGTGTTCGTTTTTAGTGTTGGAAATAATTTTTTTACTCTAGACTACAATTTTTAGTGTAGAAAATAAATTTATTTATTCTATAAAACAATTTTTACTATAGAAAACAATTTTTACTGTAGAAATAAATAATTTATTTACTATTTTCCAAAAAGTGTTCGTTTTTAGTGTTGGAAATAATTTTTTTACTCTAGACTACAATTTTTAGTGTAGAAAATAAATTTATTTATTCTATAAAACAATTTTTACTATAGAAAACAATTTTTACTCTAAAAAACAATCTTTACTGTAGAAAACAATTTTTACTGTAGAAAATAAATTTATTTACTATAGAAAACAATTTCTACTCTAGAAAATAATTTTTACTGTAGAAAATAAATTTATTTACTATATAAAACAATATCTATTGTAGAGAATTAATTTATTTACAGTAGAAAAACAATGTTTATTTATTTATTTATTCGTATTTAAACGGTTTTACAAAAGAAAACTTTTACTCCAGAAAATAATTTTTACATGTAAAAAATAAATATTTATTTAATAAATAAATATATTTATTTATTTACTATAGAAAACAATTTCTACTCTAGGAAATAATTTTTAGTGTAGGAAATAAATTAATTTACTAGGTATAGAAAACTATATTTATTGTAGAGAATTAATTTATTTACTGTGGAAAATAATTTTTACCGTAAAAAATAAATTTATTTCTTATATTTTTTTATATTTATTTATTTACTATAGAAAACAATTTTTACCGTAAAAAATAAATTTATTTACTCTATAAAACAATTTTTACTGCAGAGAATAAATTTATTTACTATAGAAAACAATTTTTACTGTAGGAAATAAATTAATTTACTCTATAAAACAATTTTTACTGTAGAGAATTAATTTATTTACTGTAAAAAATAAATTTATTTATTATATTTTTTTATATTTATTTATTAAAATAGATAAATAAATTTATTTAGTATTTATTTATTTACTATAGAAAGTAATTTTTAATATAGAAAACAATTTTTACTGTCGAAAATAAATTTATTTATTCTATAAAACAATTTTTACTATAGAAAACAATTTTCATTGTATAGAAAATAAATTTATTTACTCTAGAGGATAGAGTTAGATTCTTCAACTGAAACATATTTCTTAATAAAATGGTGGTTGAATTTCTCCACATCAGAACGTCAAGGTCGCCACCAGATGGCAGTGAAAATAAAAATTCCAAGAAGGAACTGAACTGCCATCTAGCGGTGACCTTGGCGTTCGCAGGTGGAGAGTAGCATTCTCCATATTGAAATTGGAGTAATTTTATAATAAAATTTATGACTAAGACTTTACTATTACGGAACAAGTAAAAAATTAAAAAGATTAAATAGTAAAAATTACAAAGCAGAAATTTAAAATTTAGTAATATTTCGCTTAGATTTAGTTTTAAGAGTAAAGATGAAAAAGCCACCATACGGAATTTTCATTCATTTCGCAATAATTCCTATACTCACGAGTTTTCTATTGTAAATCGTATAAAAGTGGCTTTGATTCAAGAAGACAGTTCGTTTACAAACACTTCAAATGCCAACACTGAAGATATTTGTTTTTCTTCCATCAAAATAACTTCCAAGGGGAATAGAAATCTCT